GTGTGTGTGTGTGTGTGTGTGTGTGTGTGTGTGTGTGTGTGTGTGTGTGTGTGTGTGTGTGTGTGTGTGTGTGTATAGGAGGATGTTGCCCCGACACCCTCGTCTGATCGGGTGTGCGTTGAGTGTGCGCCCGGGACATTTAAGGCGACTGCTGGCGATGGGACGTGTCGTGCGCACAGGACGTGTGAGGACACGGAGTATGAGACGGTTGCGCCGACGAGCTCATCTGACCGGCAGTGCAAAGTGCTGACAGTGTGCCAGGATGATGAGTGGGAGTGGAACGCACCGACAACAACCACGGACAGGGAGTGCCTGCCATGTGGCACATGCGCTGATGGCTTGCTTATTGAAGCTGAGTGCACTGATACGTCGCCAACCAAGTGTGTTGGGTGTGATGAGTGTGCGCCGGGACAATACGTTGCAGTTGGGTGTACATTGGATGATCCCACACAGTGTGCTGACTGCACGACGTGTGGCAGTGATGAGTACCAGATGAAGGGGTGCAACGTGTTGCAAGACACGGAGTGTGCGACGCTGACGACGTGCAGCAGCACGCAGTTTGAGGTTGAGGCGCCGACAGCGACGCGTGACCGCCGGTGCAAGGACCTGACGGCGTGCCAGCCTGGGGAGTACGAGTGCACGGCAGCGACGCTGACGACGGACCGCGAGTGCTGCGGGGTGACGCAGTGTGTGCCGGGCAGCGAGGAGACGTCCGCGCCGACGGCGACGTCTGATCGGGAGTGCCGGCAGTGTGTTGCGGGCACGACGGATGCTGACGGAAGCGGGACGACGCCCTGTGTTGCGTGCAGTGCCGGGCACTATGTGCCGCGCGGACGCACTGGCGGGTGTGCGGCGTTTGAGTGCGCGGCGGGCCACGTGGACCAGGACGAGGATGCTGCGACGGCGTGCAAGTTGTGCGAGGCAGGCGTAAACTATGCCGGGAGCGCTGGGCTGACGAGGTGCACGTCTGTGAGCGAGTGCGGCGCTGGCGAGGAGGAGACGAGCGCGCCGACAGCGTCAACGGACCGGGTGTGCAGCACGTGCGCGTCTGGGAAGTTCAAGGCGACAACTGGGCAGACGCCGTGCCAGCCTGTGTCGACGTGCGAGGAGGACGAGTACGTGTACCGTGCGGCGACTGTGAGCACGGACACGCAGTGCCGAGCGCTGACGGCGTGCAGTGATGAGCAGTATGAGACGCGCGCGCCGACAGTGAACAGCGACCGGGAGTGCACGGGGCTGACGACGTGCGGGAGCGGCGAGTACGAGACGCGCGCGCCGACGGCGACGACGGATCGCAAGTGCGCGAGTGTGACGCAGTGCGACTCGACGCAGTTTGTGGTGTCGAAGCCGACGGCGACAACGGACCGGGACTGCGCTGAGTGCGACCGGTGCGACAGCGGGACGCAGTATGAGACGGCGACGTGCACGGCGACGACGAACAGGGTGTGTGCGGACCTGACGGTGTGTGCGGACACGGAGTACGAGTCTGTTGCCGCGACGGACTCGAGCGACCGCAAGTGCTCGAGCTGCCGGGAATGCACGTCGTCTGAGTATCTTATGTCTGGGTGCAGCGAGAGCGCGAATGCTGTGTGCAAGGCGTGCACTGAGTGCCCAAGCGGGGACGTTTGTGTTCGACGGCGTGCACGCCGCTTGCTGATGCCCAGTGCACGGAATTGCACGCGGTGCGGGAGCGGGTACTTTGTGCAGTGGCGTGCACGAGCGAGGTGACACGACGGTGCATGCGTGCGGTCGTGCGCGAGTGGAGAGTATC